GGGATGGTAGTGTAGCGGACCGTATCAGCGATGTTGAGTATAGATGTTTATGTATTGTAGAAGTAGAAGAATACATATGTGTAGAAATTTCCTGCTAGCCAGTCCAACTCCATGAGAAAGTTGGACTTTAAGTCCAAAAAAGGCAAAGAAAAACAAGCACAAAATGTAAACAAATATAAATATATGTATTAATAACAAAAAAGGTTACAAGTTACATGGACAGTTACATGGACAGAGTGTGTGTGGTTAATATTATGTGTTGTGTTGTGGTGAGTGTTTGTATGTACGTGTATTGTTCTTAGTGTGTTCCCAGAATTTGGGAAATGCTGTATCTGTGAGCATTCACATCTGCGAGGTGGTAAGGCTGAAAGCCTGAGGCAAAAAGAGATTTACCTCAAGGTGGCGGTCCAAAGGCCTGAGGGGAAAAAGAGGAAGAGGCGAAGGATCAGCAAATATTTATAGCCAAGGAAGAGAGACCCCTGGTGAAAGGGTTAAGGAGCTAAGGAGGAGCTAACTCTGACAGTAGCACCTGTTAGGGTCCCCACCTATGAGCAAATAGTTAACCCCAAAACTGGGGTTAAAACACTATGAAATTGTAAAAATACGTTTTATTACCAGCAATGCATTTTTGTAAAAAATTATTACCAGCAATATTTTTTTGGGAAAAAATGTCACCAGCATTACTTTTTTTGGAAAAAAATATTACCAGCAATATAAATCTGGTCAGCGTTAAATAATCCATTGAGGTTGAAATCCTGTAAACCAAACCAAACAACAGTAGAGACTTTTGGCTCTTCATGGAGGAAGAATTTAGTTGTGCATTGCAAGTTCTGAATATGGATTTTTGACCCCTTTTGTTATACGCCTGCAACATTTTCTGAAATTGGTCTTGAAAAAGTTATTAACAACCTTTGGAATTATGACCACCCCCCTACTACCACCATGGACTTCAGATTTTTGGATGTGAACCTCCCCATTTAAGGGTTCATGCCTTTCAGACAGATCTTTCCACACATAATTACATTGATGACAATCTTAAAAAAAGGAAAAAAATTGTATCACATTAAGTTTGGTTAACCAGGTATCATAAACTTGAATGTGTGAGTGATATAAATAGATAAAGGCTCGAGTTGAGAAATTGGAGATCCAAGTTCAAATTCCAGTCATGTTCATTGCACTCATTTACGTAAATATCCTTGGGTGATAATTACCTATAAAGAGACATGATTGCCGAAGTGTGTCACATCTGCTCCTATCAGCACGCAATCACCTAGTGCAGTCTAGTAATGGCCCATTCCTCCCCGTAAATCTGGGAAAGGCCCACGTCTAACAAAGGACCTTGATAGACAGAGGAGTTTGGTTAACTAAGCAAAATCTATATTTTAAAATGTATGTAGAAATCATTTCAAAGATTTCAAATTTCATATGGAACTCTTATACAACATCAGTCCTCCTATATGGCAGTGAATGCTGGATAATCTCCTCATGGATGAAAGAAACTTCAGCAATAAAAATGTGGTTCTACAGAAGGATGTTGTGAATACTTGGTGATCAACAATAAAGTTTTGATAGAAAATTGAAACAAAAATGACACTTACAATGAGAAAGAAGGTTGAAATTCCTAGTGTGCAAAATGAGGAAATAAGGCTCAGAGAATTTGATGCTCCCAGGACATATTGAAGGAAAAGTGGGTGAGAAAAGAGGCGAATAACCTACCTAATGGATGGCAGACCAGGGATTGGGAGAGATAGCAAAAGGACAAAACTTAGAGGTATAAAGTTAGGAAGTTGTGGAGAACCATGATTGCCTACTTCCTAAAAAGACACAGTATTTAGAAAAAGAATTACCCTAAACTGTTTTGAAAGACCACTTTGGAAAGTTCTGGTTTAGAGAAAAAAATTTTAGAAAACTGAATTTTTAGGTTTTGAGGAGCGTTTCTTAATTGCTGGTGTTCCTAGGTCCACCCTGACCCAGGGTGGTAGCACCTGTTAGGGTCTCAGCTATGGGCAAATAGTTGACCCCCAAACTGGGGTCAAAGTACTATGAAAGTGTAAAAATGGGTTTTCATACAGCAATACATTTTTGTAAAAGATTGTTACTAGCAATACATTTTCAAAACAAAAAAAAAAATATTACCAGCAATATATTTTTGGAAAAAATATTACCAACAATAAAAAATCTTGTCGGTAGTAAATAACCCATTCATGTTGATATGCCATAAAACAAACTAAGCATCCTGGGTAAGACGTTAAACTACGTCCATCAGCAAGGCCTCTGATCGGGAGGTTTTGAGGAGCATGGAACCACCTCTTAATTGCTGGTGTTCCCAGGTCCACTCTGACCCTGGGTGGTAGCACCTGTTAGGGTCCCAGCTATAGGCAAATAGTTAACTATTACCAGCAATACCTTTTTGAAAAAAATTATTGCCAGCAATACCTTTTTGAAAAAAATTATTGCCAGCAATACCTTTGAAAAAAAAATTATTGCCAGCAATACCTTTTTGAAAAAAATTATTGCCAGCAATACCTTTTTGAAAAAAATTATTGCCAGCAATACCTTTTTGAAAAAAATTATTGCCAGCAATACCTTTTTGAAAAAAATTATTGCCAGCAATACCTTTTGAAAATTATTGCCAACAATACCTTTTTGAAAAAATTATTGCCAGCAATACCTTTTTTGAAAAAATTATTGCCAGCAATACCTTTTGAAAAAATTATTGCCAACAATACCTTTTGAAAAAATTATTGCCAGCAATACCTTTTTGAAAAAAAAATTATTGCCAGCAATAAAAAAAATTATTGCCAACAATACCTTTTGAAAAAATTATTGCCAGCAATACCTTTTTGAAAAAAATTATTGCCAGCAATACCTTTTTGAAAAAAATTATTGCCAGCAATACCTTTTTGAAAAAAATTATTGCCAGCAATACCTTTTTGAAAAAAATTATTGCCAGCAATACCTTTTTGAAAAAAATTATTGCCAGCAATACAATTTTGAAGGAAATATATTACCAGAAATAGATTTTTGACAAAACAAAATATTACGAGCAATAAAAATTTTTGCCAGCATTAAATAACCCATTGAGGTTGATATTCTGTAAAACAAAATAAACCAAATGAATCTAAACCAAAGAATACATATTCTATTCATACAAATCTATCCTAAAAATATTGTCAGAATTAAATAACCCATTGAAGTTGATATGCCGTAAAACAAAATAAACCAAACCAAACTGATTTCTTACAAAGAATACATATTCTATTCATACGAACTTATCCTAAAAAATCTTGTCGGCATTAAATAACCCATTGAAGTTGATATGCTGTAAAAGAAAATAAACCAAACCAAAACAAACTAAATCAAATCTGAATTTTTAAAAATCTATTTAAAAAATTGATTTGGTTAATTAAATTGTTCCTAATCTAATTAGTCATGAGTTATTAGACTTTAATTTGCATTCTTTGTAACCAAGCTAATACCTATATCATTATAGGTACTGCCTTATTTGTAAATAATTATTACCTGTTTTGTGTCTTGTAAATAAATTTGTCCAAATCTGGATTAGAGTAAATAATGAGTTGTCTCCCTTGACATGTTCTCATCAAATGGCAAGCTGTTAAGATTCCTCGATGGGAAAATTCTCACATAGTTTCTTCCAGAATTAATAGATTTTCTGGCTTTCCTTTTCTGCTCTTGTTTAAATAAAATGACCATATATCATGCGATTTTTGATGATCTAATTTTGAAGCTAATTTGACTACAGTAAATGGATATAAAGTTTGGTCAATAGCATACACAGGGCCAGCAGTACATACACTAATTTTATATCTCATGTATGATGTGACCACCTTAAAATTGGCTTCAAAATTAGGTTTCAAGAGTTGCATAATACGCAAATATATTCGGTAAATAGAACTTATTCTTAAAATACATTTCAACCACTCATTGCGAAATTTTAATATTTGACATTAAATTCCAAATTGCTTATTCATTTTTTCAAAAATGATATGGTTTCATTTGTACATTATAAAAATTAACTTATTTATTTTTTAATTAATTATGGCATTTTCTTTTTTGGCATTTTTGTTTGTTTATTTTATTATTTTTTTTAATTACCTTATTTTGGGTATTTTCATGCTTGTGCAGATGTTGTATATGCAGTTTCAGATTTAGAATGATAAGTGTAGAATATTATTATTACTATATTTTGTTTTCTGACTTGGGTGTGTCAGAGTGATGTTAAGATTTGTATTATGTTTGATTACTGCCTCCTGACGATAATCACAGGCAGTGCAATATTTGTCTTCCTGTTTTGTTTTCCATATTTTCCCCGTACTGTGCCAACATCCAGTAATGGATCTCAGCAGATTTTCTGCATTCATATGCCTGACCTCATTGCTCTCTGCTACTTGACTGAACAATGGAATAGCATGCACGGTTAGCTACTTATCATTCCATGTGCCCATGCAGTGTTGTATGTCAATGCTGTTCTGGGTATGACGATAAGCTACATCTGGCAGCAAGGCATCTGAGCAGGAGACTGGAGGTTTTGAACAGCATGGAACTACCTCTTAATTGCAGTTGTTCCAAGCTCCATCCTGACAGGGGTCCCAGCTATGGACAAATAGTGAACCCCACAAACAAAAAATACTATAAAATTATAAAAATACATTTTTATAGTAATTACTAGCAGTAGAGCCCGGCGTTGCCCGGGGATATAACAGTAAGAGATAGATCAAGTATCCACCATCATAAAGACTGAAAAATAAAATTGGCAAAGATTGTTTAAGGTTGACGGACACGCATGTCTTAATTTTTTTTTTATTTTTTTTACGAATTGGTCAAACTCAAACAAAAACATTGTTTTCAATCATTATGAGTCTCTACTGATTGAATAGAATTTTATTATAAACAATTGTCTTGTAAATGGAATTTTTAAAGCATTCTGAATGTAAAAATAAAGAAAAAAGTGTGCAAGACAATAAGAAACACTACATGCCAAAAAAAAAGTGAAGTTTTGTTGAAATCGGTTGAAAAATATAGGTAGCCTTTCTGTAATCTTTTAGTTTTACAATTTATGATTTTTACTTATTGAATACAGTAAAAATAATTGCATATTTTGCTTGTGGTGATTCATAATTAGAATTCTGATTTGAATATATTTTCCCTCGTTGTTTCTAATAAAAAATATTAACTTTATTTGGGTTTATTAATTATGATCTAACAAATCTTATTCATTTAGTAGCCTTTCTGTAATAATAATCTTTTACAATTTATGATTTTTACTTATTGAATACAGTAAAAAAATTGGACTCCATGTGTATTTAAAGTAGTTATTATTTTTAGTTAGGACTTGTGTATGTTTAGATTTCATTATCTTTCCCTAAAGATAAAGAATTTATTCCGATGTTTGTATTCATACAATCAGTAGAGATCGTTAGATTATTGTTTAAGGTTGACGGACACGCATGTCTTAATTAGTTTTTTTTTTTTTTTTACAATTGGTCAAACTCAAACAAAAACATTGTTTTCAATCGTTATGAGTCTCCCAATTGAATAGAATTTTATTATAAGTTAATTGTCTTGTAAATGGAATTTTTTAAAGCATTGTGAATATTAAAAATAAAAAAAAATGTGTGTAAGAGAATAAAACACTACCTGCCAAAAAAAAAAAAGTGAAGTTTTTGTTTTATCATTTTGAAAAATATAGGAAATCTGCTCCCATATTTAAAGGAACCCACACACAAACAACCCGATGTGAGTTGTCCCCTTCCATTTTCACGATGTCTCTTAATCGTGTTTTCAAATTGATTTTTGTGCAAAAACAATTATATTTTTCCCATTTTTGGCGCTGTTAGAACCACCACAAGGTAATTTTATGTAGTCCTGTGAATTTTTGTTGAAATCGGTTGAAAAATGTAGGAAATCCGATCCAATATATAAACGTTACAGACACACACGCACACAATCTGCGTTTTATAATAAGTAAGATTACCAGCAATACATATTCATAAGAAAATGGCCAGCAATACATTTTATAGTAGACTTAATGACAATACATTTTATCTGTAGTTGAAGGGATACAATTGCATTCAAAATATTTAGACTCTGGCATTAAATGACCCATGGAGATGTTGATATGCTACTAAACAAAATTATCTGACCAACCAGACAATATCAATACCTGATCACACATGTCTGCGTGGCAGGTACCACTGGTTCAATCAGTGGCCACATCTCTATGACCAAGGGGAACCTTCAAGTATTTGACCTAGCGAAGGATGGTCTCCACAAGGTCTACTTGTCCTGGATATGTTATCTTTTCCACTTTGATTTATTAAACTTTAGTTCAGATTTAGAGCGAAGAAGGAGAGAATCTTCACATTGCTTACATTGCAATTTCCATGCTCAGTAAATATCTTGTATCAGTTAATAATCTCTTATAGTTTTGCTGCTTATCCATTTCTTCTCTATGACCTGACTTTGCAACTGAACTCTCGACTGCCAAAAACTATCTACGTTTTATTAGGTTACTCAATTCTCCAAATCTGAGCTGAAGTTTAATAAATCAAAGTGGAAAAGACAACATATCCATGACAAGTAGACCTTGTGGAGACCATCCTTCGCCAGGTCAAACACTTGATGGTTCACCTTGGTCACAGATGTGGCCACTGATTGAATCGGTGATACCCACCACTCAGACATGTTGTGTCATCACCACACTAGTTACATACATAGCTATGGATCCCAATCGACTCCCTTACGCTAAATGACCATTAACACAAAAAGAAGATTCAGCCACCCTTTGACAGGTATTGTTTTTAATCCTGCTGGGTATATAGCCACATTTTTTCCTAATCTTTTTTCTTTTTCCTTTCTCTCTTTTCTCTTTTTTCCTTTTCTTTTTCTTCTCTTTTCTCTTTTTCTTCTCTTTTCTCTTTTTCTTTTTTTTCTTTTTTTTCTTTTTTTTTCTTTTTTTTCTTTTTTTTTCTTTTTTTTCTCTTTTTCTTTTTTTCTCTTTTTCTTTTTTTCTCTTTTTCTTTTTTCTCTTTTTCTTTTTTCTCTTTTTCTTTTTTTCTTTTTTCTTTTTTCTTTTTTTTTTTTTCTTTTTCTTTTTTCTTTTTTTTTTTTTTTTTTTTCTTTTCTTTTTCTTTTTTTTTTTTTTTTCTTTTTTTTTCTCTTTTTTTTTTCTTTTCTTTTTTTTCTTTTTTTTTTTTCTCTTTTTCTCTTTCTTTTTTTTTCTCTTTTTTTTTTTTTCTCTTTTTTTCTCTTTTTTTTTTTTTTTTTCTCCTTTTTCTCTTTTTTCTCGTTTTTTTTTTTTTTCTCGTTTTTTTCTTTTTTCTCGTTTTTTTTCTTTTTTCTCGTTTTTTTTCTTTTTTCGTTTTTTGTTTTCTTTTTCCTTTTCTTTTCTCGTTTTCTTTTCCTTTTTTCCTTTTCACGTTTCTTTTTTCCTTTTTTTGTTTCTTTTCTTTTTTCCTTTTCCCTTTTTCTCTGTTTTCATTTTCTTTTTTCATTTTCTCTTTTTCCCTTTTTTTCATTTTTCTCTTTTTTCCTGCTTTTTTTTTTTTTTTTTTTTCTCTCTCTTTCTCTCTTTTTGAAAAGAATGACTTTCATGTAGGGGGTGCATTTCTGTAGAATTTGATGGTTACTTTTTTCATTTTCCCTGTTGAAATCATTTTCATGATTCCAAAATGCTTTTTTTTTTATTTCTTTTTATTCTTGTAGAAAAAGTCTGTTGCATCTGCTACTGAATTGAATCTGTTGGATTTTCACTTCGACAGTTTTACTCTTGACGATGACCAGACTCTTCGTGCCTGTATACGAATGTTTATTGATTTAGACTTTATGGAAACATTTCACATCAGCCAAGACGTGAGTATTTTTCTTGTTTTTCGCACACTTTGTGTTCTGTGATTATAAATTATTCCATGAACCAAGTATGGTTTATGACTATATCATGTTGAAATACCGGTTCTCTTACAATCACCAAAGTTAAGCATCATCAAGCCTTGTCAGTACCTAGGTGGGTGACCACTTAAGAATACCAGGTGCTGTAAGCTTCGATGCGTTGATGTAATGGATAATGGCTCGGAATTGGAAATCAGTGAGTAGAGTTCCAATTCCTGTTGGGCTTATTATATTAAGTACAAATATCGTTGGGAAAGGATACTATGTATTTAAGCACAGTACTAGTTTGGCAGTTAGGTCTCATCATCCTACAGTTGAAATGGCTAGATATAACTGTAAGTTCTATGGCAATAATTTCTTCTCTTGCACTTCTTGCTTGTGGAACTCTCTTCTGGCTTAATGCAGGATCAATTGTTATCTTTTGTCTTATTTCTTGTTATTTTTGGGTTTTTTTGTTCTCTCCCCTTAACAATGTTTTTCTTTTTCTCATTCTATCATACTCAATAAAACCCCTTGTATCTTAGTGGCTTTATTGCCTTTTGGAGTGAAATGATAATAAAAAGAAAAAAAATGATTATCCTCCTCTTCTCCCACTAGTTATTGGTTAGCTTTAAATCTTCTTTTATGTGCTGTGTCCCTTCAGGACGTAGGCGATCACAGCTCTCCACTTAACCCTGTTCCTTGTAGCTCTCGATAATTTTTGTCCCTTTGCTACTTCTCCCAAACCCCATTCTGCTTTCCACTTGCTTAAACCTGCTAAATATGTCACATGTTGCTTTCCCATGTCCCTCTTTCTCTCTATCCACCTTGTGTGTATCAGATTTTCCAAGTCCTTCTTTCTTATTACATATCCCAGAAATTTCAGCTGCTTCTTCCTGATGTTAAGTATAAGTTTCCTCTTTGTTTGCATTCTCTTCAAAGCCTCATCATTGCTCACATGTTTGGTCCATGATATCCTCAGCTTCTGTAGAATGATACATCCATTGCCTCGAGTCTCTTCTTCATCTTTGAGTAGGCCATCCAACATTTGCTGCTGTAAAGGAAGACAGATATCACATAGCAGTTCAGTACTCTTTTCATTGTGCTTCCTGAGTAAGACAACTGCATCCAACAGCAAGGCCTGTTAGATCAGGAGTTTTTGAGGAGCGTGGCACCACCTCTTAATTGCTGGTGTTCCCAGGTCCACCCTAACAATATGAAAGTGTAAAAATAGGTTTTAATACATTTTTGAAAAACAAATATTACCAGCAATACATTTTTTGAAAAAAAAATATTACCAGTGAAGGAAAATTCTTACCAGAAATAGATTTTTGAAGGAAAAAATATTACCAGCAATACGTTTTTGGAAAAAAAATATTACCATCAATAAAAAATTATTGGCATTAAATAACCCATAAAACAAATCAAACTGATTCCTTACAAAGAATACATATTCTATTCATACGAACCTATCCTAAAAATCTTGTCAGCATTAAATAAGCCATTGAGGTTGATATGCTGTAAAACAAAATAAACCAAATCAAACTGATTTCTTACAAAGAATACATATTTTATTCATATGGACCTATCCTAAAAATCTTGTCAGCATTAAATAACCCATGGAGGTGTTGATATGCCATAAAACAAAATAAACAAAGCCAAACCAAAACAAATGAGCAATTTAAAAAAAACTTTTTACAAAATAAAACTATCCAAGATTGTAAATTTCCTAAAAGAAGTTGGATTGTTCTCAAAAATATGAGCAATTGAAAAATGGTTCAAATATATATGTATACATATTACATGTTACCAAACTATCACTATGAATCTATTTCAAAATTTTGTTGGCATTAAATGACCCACTGAGGTTAATATGCCATAAAACGAGCCAACCAACTCTTTTCTTTGTTACCAACAAAATCCTCCTGTCTTGTAATACTCTGCCTAGCTTTTGGAATGCATCTTTGGCCATCCTAATACGTCTTCAGATCTCAGTTGCATCAAGTCTCTTCTTCATCTTTGACGAAACCATCCAACATTCCCTTCAGGATGTGGGCAATGTGGCTCTGCAGAATTTCTTTTTCTTTTTAGTCTTAGTAAAGTTTGTCTTTTTGCTATTTACACATGTTCACTAGGTATGGGAAATGCTGCATTCCTTTGTCCTTCATTATGACCTGTCAGTATCAAATTTTCTAAGCCCTCTTTCCTCATTATGTGGCTGAGAAATTTAAGTTTTTTTTGTTTCCATTTTCTGAAAAACTTTGTCATTACTCGCATGTTCAGTCTATGGCATCCTTCTGTAGAACTGTTTTTGCTTCAGATCTTTTCTTTATCTGTGATGATTATGAGATATATATATATATATATATATATATATATATATCTATATATATATATATATATCAAGATTACTTTTAAATATCAATTTTATCCTGACATCAATGTTTCTTGATAAAATTTCCAGTCTTCAGGGTTGTGGTTTTAAACAGTATTTTAAATTTTTCACTTTATTTACATCTTAAATAAAGTGAAAAAATTTTAAAAAAACTGAAATACCATTTAAAACCACAACCCTGAAGACTAAATTACCAAAAACTATCAATGAGGATAATTGATATTTAAAGATAAATATCTTATCATTTAATATTATTAATGCTCTATTTTCAATATTGTTTCAATATTATTTTAATATTTAGCACTATATATAAAACTATCTGCTGTTTCTTAAATCTTGTATATATATATATATATATACACACACACACACACACACACACAGTAATTAATAAATGTCCAGGTGGAATCTGTTCCCTTATCCCCTCCCTGATAGCAAACGGTGTTTGTTGCCAGCCTCCCATGAGGCTTATTATAATAAAGCTTTCTGAAGTGGATGATTATCTATGGGCGAGTTAACCTAGTTTAGTCTAACAAGGCAGAACATTGTTGACTCCCTAATTCTAATTTATTGGATTTTGGATTTTATTTGTGTTTAATCTTAGAAGTGAATATTTCTCAGTGCCAATTAGGAATGATCATTTTGATTGTAACTTAGTGGAGAGTGATCTTCTTGGAACAACCCTCTTCTTCTCATATATCTCAGATTATCGACTTTGATTAAAGCAGGAACGATTTATCACAGAAAATAATGACTACTTCTGAATCAGTGATTAAAAAAAAAAAAATATATATATATATATATATATACACACACACACACACACTATTGTGTAGCAAATACAGGTATGTATATATATATATATATATGTGTGTATTTAGGCAGCATTTTTTCATTGATACATGTTTCATTAAATAATATAGACAAGTGTTGTTTATTTATTTTATGTAAATTCTTTTCATAACGTCTGATAAGCTTAATAACATTATCATTAAACGAAGAAAATCACAATATTGATCCATATTTTTTAATCCTATCTAAGCTTTCGGCTTACATAAACCATTATCAAAGATGACAATTACATTGCAATATATTAAGCAATACACGGACAAGACAGTGATGATAGTCTGTTTGCATGGAAGATTTCCAAGCAACAACAAACTCATGCATATAAAGACGCTGGAAGTGAAAATCGGACCGCAGCTCATGACATCACACATGACCATGTGAGAAGTATTAAGTATGGGAAGCCGTTGGTATAAACCAATGGCTTCTGTTACCAATTATAGGCATTTAAGAATATTTGTGTAGTAAATACAAGTATGTATGTATGTGTGTGTGTATATATATATATATATATATATATATATATCCAGGTAAAATGAGAACAAATGGAGTATAATTCCACTATCTGTAGGATTTAATTTTTAAAAAAGGGCTCAATACAATGTAGACCTTAATATTATTTATATGTTTAAGTTATGAAGAACTTGGTAATCCGTATGGGTAATCCCAAGGAGGATGAAATCCTGAGAGCTCAATGTAAATCCAGAGCTAATATTTAAAAGAAAAATAGACCACTTTAAGGTACCATTATTTATTTTATAGATAATGGTAGCTTAAAATGAATCTGTTCTTTTAAATATATATATATATATACATGGTTTTGTGTCTCATATATATATATATATATATATATATATATATATATATATATATATATATATATATATATAGGTTGTCTCTTACATATATATATATATATATATATATATATATATATATATATATATATATATATATATATTTTGTGTTTGTTGATACACTTATTTGAGTAAATGCTCTGCTCTTTAATTGAATGGTATTAATTACATTTAACTTGGCCGGAATGTTGAGAAATTTCATAGAAAATAAGCATCCACCAACAAAAATGGAAACTGTGTCCTATAGGGGACCGTCATTTAGCCTAACATGCTAAGACTGTTCCACCACAGAGGATTTTCAGGTTAGCAAAGCTCGAATTACTGCTTTTAAACACACACCTTTGCTGATTTTTCTCGATCTATCATATCTGCTCTGAAATTGTAGCCTAACATAAGCAATGGCCACATATTATATGAAATAGATTAAATCCAACAAATATTTTAATATTTTTCTGTTTATATGTTTTTTGTTAGTTTTTTATAGAAACACTTATTTATTTAGTCTTTTTCAATTTCTGTGGTTCCTCTCTTGAAATATGTGCTAATTTGGTTTGCAATAAATAATAAATTGTATTTCTTAAAGAATATTTTTTGATAAACAAAAGATAGCTATTCTGTTTTATTTAAAGAATTTGCAATAAGTTTACTTTGAGCTATGGAAATGTCACTAATATCATGGTCAGTTCACACTCCTCCTTGATCCTTTTGTACAGGAGTAGAGGGTTATCCTTTGTTCTCTGTTTAGGATTGGGTTTCTGGTTCCTTCTACTCCAACTATATACTTCTAACATCTCAATTCTCAAATTTTACTTACTATTTATTTATTTTTTTCCTCAATAGGAGTAGATAGGACAACTGGTTCAAACCCCTTCCCGTCTTTTAAACAGGAGTAGAGATTTACCCTTTGTTTCCAGTTTAGGATTGAGTTCTCTTCTAGGGTATTTCATTCTCTTTCACACTCAATAGCTTCTTGTGTCTAAATGACATTATTGCCTTGCTTGTAGTGAATTGGTTAAAAAGTTGGGTGCACACGAGTTTGAAGGTTGCTCCCTCTGAGGGATGCCCCATAGTTT